AAGGTGTTCTCACGTTGCATCACTGTGACTCTCACTCTCCTGCTTCTCTCCGTTTCTTGTAAGGGCCCCTTGATGACGTTAAGCCCACCTAGATACCCAAGATGATCTTCCCATCTCATATGTTAGCATCCTTAATTCCACTGTGGCAACCTTTAATTTCCCCTTCCCATGTAACATGAATATATTCACAGATTCCAGAGATTAGAATGTGGGGATGTGCTCATTTAGCCTATTACAAGTGGGAAAATCAAACATGTGTGTTTAGACCTACTAAGCTTGAGATGCCAGGGAGGTGACGAAGTAGGAAGTTAGAGATGCAGGTGGTTGGATATGTGAGTTTGAAGCTCAGGGCTAAATTTGGAAGTTGTCAACACAGAGATGGTGTACAAGGCTGTGAGAGTATACGACATCATTGAAGGAAAGACTGATACCAGCAAACTGCTACATTCAGTACTGCTGCAAAGGGCAGTTGCAGGTTCGTGCATGGATTTGGCAGCAAGAAATTGGAAACCTTGAGACAAGCTGTTTCCGAGTCGTGAGGGCAGAGACTAATGCAGGCTGAGAAGTGAATGGGAGACATGATCGGTGACCACAGGTGATAAGAAAAAAGTCCTGCTTGACTTTTGTTGTGAATGCTTGTTAAAAATAGTGAGGTGATTACATGGATCAAAAGCTAGGAGCGAGGCAAAACCACTGTTGTGTATTTATATCAAGTCAGAATGAGTGGTAGCTATGTTGTTAGTATATATAGGAGGAGTACATATTGCTGGGTTCTCACTACCAGGTTCTGTGTAAAAAGCAACCACTGAGAGTCAACGGGAGCAGTGAAACATCAGCACCTTCTTGAACGCTTCCTAGGAAGTCCTTTGGGGCCAAACCGTAGAAACTGCTTGGAGAAGGAAGTCACAGAATTCTCAAAGTCCTGTTACAGCATCACTTTCTCTTGAGGAATCTGCTCCATAGCTGGTTGGCCCTTCCAGGGATTCTTACAGAGGACAATGCTATGTCCTCCCAAAGACCCTACTCTCAAAGAGCAGGAACGAGGTACTCTTGTTAGCTGATGATTCCTCCCTGCGCATCTACAAGGGACCTTCTGCTACTCTTTTAGGAGGTGGCTGAAAAATTCTTGTGTAAGGCCCCTCCTCTGCTCCCTTAACTGATTCTCAGAATCCTATAAAAGGGAACAAGAACTCTCAGAACAAAAAGATTCAAAAGGTAAAACTAAGAGCTTCCTTGTCATTAACTTGGTTAAATAAATAGAATAAAAATTCCTATGGACTTACCAGATTAGTCAGTAGGGACATAAATCTCAGAATGAACTCTAAAGGGATTTGGCTCCAAGTTATGGTCCAGGAAAATGTAAGAATCATGACAAAGTAACTAAGGCATTTGTTTTATTAAAGTCTTAATCTTACAGCATATACAAATTTAATTTCATATCTATCATAGACCAAAACATAAAGGATAAAACTATGCAGTTTTTAGAAGATAGCATGAGATAGGTATTTGGTACTTTAAGGTAGGTGAAATTTCTTGCAAAGGACATGTGAAACAATAACAATAAAGAAAAATGACAAATTGTGCTTGTTTAAGATGGAAAATTTTTGCCCATTAAAAGACATTAAAGAAAATTGAGTTGGTAGAAGGGTACAAACTTACAACTAAGCAAAGAACTTATATGTATGACTCATGGACATGAACTAAGGTGGGGGGTTTATTGGGGGGAGGAAATACAAAGTGGAGGGAGAGAAACAGGAGGAAAAGATGGGACAACTGTAATAGCATAATCAATAAAATGTACTTACAAAAAACTCCCAGCTAAGGACAGTAAGGTCTAAGGAGCTAATGTAAAATACCGTGACTATAGTTGATAACACTGTATTATATCATTGAAATTTGCTAAAAAGGTAGAACTTAAATATTCTCACCAAAAAAATTTTTAATAGATAAATATGTGAGGTGATGAATTTGTTAATTAACTAGATGGTGGGAATCCTTTCACAATTAAAAGACAAAACAAGAAAAATTAATGGACAAGCCACAGACTGGGAGGTAATATTTTCAAAATATACATCTGACAAAGGACTTGTATCTAAAACATACAAAAGATGTCAACTCAATAATAACAAACAAAACAAAGAAAATTTTATGTGGATAGAAAGTCTTAGTCTGCATCACTGATTCAAATACTTCTAACTTAGTGAAGTTAATAGCTTTTACTTTTAATAGTAAAGGAAGTCTGAAAAGTTAAAAAGAGTGGGTATTATGCCTTAAATACTAAAAGCCAGGCTAAGCGCCACCTGGTGGCAGAGATTTTGAATTTCAACTTGAGTTTTTCTGAAAAAATATTTTTAAGTAAATAAAGATAAATTTTGAAAGTTGGATTTGCAAAAACAGATTTGTAAATAGTAAAAAATGTTATAAGGTGACAGTCAAATTAAAGTTTACTGTAGTAAAACCGAAGCAAAAAGGACAAAGTCTATTCAGTTATTTTTGCAGTGAAAATGCCTGTTAACAATTATGAGGCAATGAAGATAATATAATGACACAATGCTCTATCAAACATTTCCGTGGTAGAATTGTAATCGTAATTAAATATTAAAACAGTAAGTGTATGTTGATTATTTGTGTGCCAGGTATTTCATCTGTATTATCACATTTGGTCTTAAGAACTATCTGAAGACCAGGCCCGCACCACAGAATTTTTCCAGTAAAATAACCTATTTGATTACTAAACCTCACAGAACACTTTTATCTCTCCAAACAGTATTTTGTGACTTTGTTTGTACTGAAAAAATTATATTTATATCCCCAAAACTCTGTATAATTTTTTTTAACAAAATGAGGCATGGGAAAAGACTTGATTTATTTACATTCTAAATTAAACTGGTCTAAACAGCGTCCAAATCCTGTGCATATGTGCTGAGAACCACTCGCAGTTTGACAGTGAGGGTGTGCCTCTCCGCTGTTGCTAGCTCCAGGTGAGCAACTTGTCCTGAACGTGCCGCCTCCACGCCTTCAGTAGTTAGCTCTCGGTTTCACTTAGTATTTGACCGCGAGTCCCCTCTCAAAGACGAGAGTGTTGAGAAAACTCTGGGAAAACGAGTGAGTGATCACGGTGTTTACAAGGGAAGAGATGTCACCGACACAACTTTTTGTTAAGAGCTACACTGGTTGTGACCAGAGTCAGCCTTCGAATTTAAGTAACACTTAAAGCAAGTTATATCTAAACATCATTTTTGGTTTACACTTTTATATGAATTATACTTCTTTTCATTAAGTTGTAGGAAGTGATTGCAGGCCTTATAATGCATTGTAATTATTTCCCATTAAACATAATGGAAAACAGGCTCCCTGTTGGTGTTTTTGGGTAGAATCTCTGGTTTTCAAGAATAAGTCACTGATGCTAAGCAAGGACTGCCTGTATAGTAGTGTTATGACACCGTTTTACAAATGAAACCCAAAGAGATGGAATCACTCGCCCGAAGTCCAGTGGCTGAGGGGTGGCAGCTGGGCTCCGGAGGCCGCCTTCTCACTCACCGCCGCCGCACGCTGCTCCTGGTGGCCGCGCTCTGTCACACTGAGGGCGTGAGCCTGGGGTCTGCATTTCTCAAAGTCCTCAGAGAGTTACTGGATCAATACATCACCTAAAAGGAAGTTTTGTGGCTAATTAGATTTGGGAAATGCTGAGTTTAGCCAAATAAAACCCTTAGTTTTCAAAGCCAAATGTACGCTAAATTACTCTAAGGTTGGTAGGTGAAGAGGTGTTTAGCATTTTCCAGACTTATTTGTTTAAGATGTACATAGATTAAGAATGGGATTGGTAGCATGAAATATACAATATGTATGTGTACATGTGTGTATATGTAGGTATATGTAACATACTTTATGACATACCTGCTGACTCAGGCAAATGTGTGTGTGTTTGTCCTACGCAGCTAGAAGTCTGAGGCAGGGCAGTCCAGGGCTGGGCTCGTGTCTCTGTCCCTTTCTGCTGTACTGTCCATAACAGGCGTCCTTCATACTCCTGTTGGTCACCTTATAGATGCCAGATTTTGCTGCATCTGCACACCTTACAGCTGTTTTCCAGGGAGGAAGAGAAAGGAAAGGGAAAGAAAGAGGCAGCCCTGACACTCCCACTTACATTTCATTGACCAGCTTGTTGTCGCCCTACATGACCATTCTTAGCTGTAAGCAGCCCTCAGACTGGGTTAGGGTGAGGTGATAAACCACAACGGTTGATGTGCTGCTCACGTGACCTGTCATTAGCTGTGAGTTGGGCTGTGGCTCTGCTCAATGTGTCATTTTGGGTGAGTGAGCAGCCATTCTTGGGGCCATGCACTTCCCGTGGTTGAGGGGAAATGGAGATGGTGGACCACGTGACAGCTCCTAAAGACTCCACTCAGAGTGACATCTGTCATTTTCACCCATATTCCATTGGCTAAAGCAAGTCATATATTAAAGCTGATGTCAAAAGGGCAGGGAAATATAATCCTCTTATAAAAAGCATTGCAGATTGTTGAGCATATCCATATAATCTTTCCTGTATAATAAATGCAGGCAACTGGGAACAGACCAGGGTTGGAATTTGAGTCAGAAATCTACAGTGTCTGCCACAGTACACACACACACACACTACCTGTTTGTTTAGTTATGTTCCAGAGCATTTCACAAGATAAGTATTTGCTTCCTTTGGGAACTGTGGTCTTGAGCCATATCATGTTTCTCTGATAAAATAACTACCTAAAAAAACATCCTGGTATCAAACACTTAGCCCTGAATGTGGGCTGTAGTTCTATTCAGCATTGTAATAAATTCCACTATAATGGCATAGCCGACAGTCTGTGTCACAGCATGCTATTGGAAGATTCTCGTTGTACATCAAAATCCACTATTTTGTCAAGGTGATATTCATGAGCAACGTTTATTTTGAAACCAGGAGAGTTTCAGAAGACAGAGTCATCCCTAGCTATTAATTTTTTTCTTCTTTTCTGAATCAGGTGCTGTCATACCATGCGACATGTTCAAAAGCTGAAGTTGACAAGTTTAAGGTAAGGAAGTAATCGGTGCCCTATGCGGGCATGAAGATAAACTTGATATGGCTCTTTGAGCCTTTGTTACTTGCTTCTGAAGAACTAGCTCTGCCCGTTGGGTGCTGGGGAATGGGCAAAGTGTGTTCGGATATTTTAGTTTTTGAGGACAAGGGAGACATATAGAACAGAGTATTCCCTTTATGATCATTGAAATGATTCTGTATTTATTTCTTTCCATTTGTTAAGTAAGCAGGATACCAAAAAAAATCTGTGGAATATGTTGAGAATCGGGATGCCTGATTTGGGCATTGGTTTTACCTCCAACTTTCTGTTCACTTAAAATCTTAGGGCCTCTATCTTCATCTGTAAAAATAAGTGAAGAAATTAGGATAATAATAGGTAATATTTTTCCTGTATTAAATCATTTTGAGTCTCATAATCCTATGAAGTATATACTCTTTTATAGGTGAGTAAATGAGGCATGGAGATATTGAAGAGAGAGGCCAAGGTCAAAAAATTGTAATGGGCAGAGCCAGGCAGTCTGGTCCCAGCACTGGAGTTCTTAACCACCAGGCTTCACAGCCACGCAGCACGACCCCCTTCTCTCTCTGGTGTCCTGCGAGTCTGCGACTGAGTCTCAGATATTCCTCTTTGCTTTAGTCATTGCCATTTCCTTAAAGGCAGTTCAGAATTCTTGCTCCTCTTCCTGTCCTTCTAACAGGCCATAGTCAAAGCATGGGTATGTGGAGAAACTAATTTTTTCCCTTTTGAAAGTTTTGGTGTTCGCATTTTTAAGTTTCTGTGGAGGTTTAGCTATTCATTATCATGCAAGCTGCCACTACCATAAGAAAGGTAATTATTTGTATTGTAGTATTGGCATGTAAAACTACTTGATGATGACTACTCTTTTAAGAGTTTCATTTGCACATAGATGCATTCATCTTCCCAGGAACAAAGGCACAGAGACTTTTAGGTCAGATCATTGAATCAGGTTATTAGAGTTGAGTCACACTAATACAGGAATCAAGGGAAGACCCCAAACTCATCTTAGGGATGAGGGAACTGCTGGGAAGGACAGGGAGTGGACACTGGGCCTGTGGTGAGCTGCTTGGGTTCCATCCGGGGATATGGAAAAGACCTGCAGTGGTGACCCAGGTCAGGGGGGACATGGTGCCGGCAAGAGGTGACAACTAAGAACCAAGGAAGAATATGGAACAACCGAGACCATAGGAGTCAGGGCCTATTGTTGCAGAAATAAACACCCTAAGTTCCACCTAGAGTGTGGGTGCCTTCAGGGCAGCACTGTTCCTATGTTTTGTTCACTCTCTGTCTGTCCCGCCTTTTGCCGTTCTTGAGACACAGTAGCACTCAGTAAATAACTTGTTGAATGGATGGCTGAGTGAATGAATGGACAACTAAATAAATCCAAACAGCATCAGTGTTCCACAACTTAAAACAATTACTCATTAAGAAAATGTTAAAACTGTGTACATATGTAGTTACATTTTTTATATTTTATGTGTACTTTATAAATATTTTTATCAAAAGTATTTAAAGCTTTTTTACCTTAATAAAGATCAGTTTCCTAGAAACTCTACTGATGGAAATAATTTCCATATCTGTTTCACTATTATATTTTCTACTGCTATAATTATCATCATTGCTAAGAGAGGGGAGGGACAGTCAGGGAGAAAGATAGCAAAGCTCACAGTGGACTAAACAGGCCTGCAAGAGCTATTTGATGGGACATGGTCAGAGCTGCAGGGGACATGGCCGGAGCTGCAGGGGACATGGCCGGAGCTGCAGCTGACCAGAATCACTAGCTGGATACTCTCAAAGGTACTGCCCTGTGTTCAGGCTTAATTCTTCACTTAAAGTCAGGAGAACCCTCTTGATGTGGAATCTGGCATGCTTTTCTATTGTTAGCTCACAAACATACTAAAAATATGAAGTACTTAAATTTAAAAACAAAGAGTTATTTCATCTTAAAATTATCAAGATTATTAACTGATTTATTCTAAATTGCTTACTACAGTGTAATTGAGATATATAGTAAATAATTTTACCTTAATGGCTTTTTTCTTAATATGTTGATATAAAGTAAATAAAGCATTATCATAATTGGTAGCTGATGTCTTATAACTGCAGCAATCACATGAAAATGTAGTAGGCTTAAAATAACCCTGCATATAGACACTGAAATGTGTTTACTGAAATTTCATTCCAGAGTGCAATGGCAGTTTCCTAACGTGGTAGCTAAACAACAGTAAATAACTACTTTGTTTTGACCAATATGTACAGAGAAAACCACGCTTACATTTAAATACTGTAAACTTTGCTACCTGCAATACTTTTTTTAACAGAGTAGTAAATAAATATATATGAGAAAGAGAGACAGAGACAGAAAGAGACAGGGAAGAAGAGATCAAATCTTGGAATCAGAGCTATCCACACGCTCTCATGAGTTAAAGGATGGGTGAGTCTCAATGTATTGGATTATGCCAGCTCGGACCAAGCTAACAGTCAGTGATTCAGAGATTAAGCCAGAGTTTGGGGGTAAATGATTTTATTATCTAGTGCTGAGAAGGATCGGGAGGTCAAATACATGCATACACAGGTTAGAATCTAGTTGCAGCCCAAGATGTATCACATTTGGGATTTAGGCATGTCTAGAAAACAAAGAGATGTGATATGTTTTACCTGCGAGGTCTTCTGAGTCAAGAACTCTTCCCGGTGGAAGTTGAGGGCATAGACCTCAGTTGTCTGCGTGATTCCAAGTTCAGCATGGGGCTTGTCTCTTGGATTTGCCCCTTACTCTAGCTTCCCATGGACTCACATCCTCAGCTAAGAACATGCGTAGACACAAAAGGCATGAACTTTCTATGGTTTCGGTGCATTAAATGCCCCTGAGAGCCAGGGTCGCAGAGTGTCCACAGCACACCGCAGAACACAGCAGTCCGACAGAAGGAGGCATCACTGTGGGCCAGAGGCAAGGCGCCTTCCACACAGTGTGACCAGCAGAGGCTGAAGGAAGCAGTGCAGGCTGAGTTGTCACATTTTAAGGACAAGCACGAGCAAGGTACGTCCTGAGAGCTTCCCTAAACAAGTCAGAGACATGGAGGTACCACAACATTGGAGACTGTGATACATGCCATTGTATCTTCAATACCTTCAATTCATTATCACTAGTACTCCTGGATGACATGGTCTAAAGGAACACAGATTTCATATACAACAAACCTGCAGTGAACCTTTACTAACTATTAATGATAGGCTGATGCCACCTTATCTTTTCTCATATCTTGTCTTCCTATTTCATACCCCTCCATTTCTTCTCCTGTTTTAGACTGCCATAGAAGAAGGGGAGGGTGTTTTTGTTTTGTTTTGTTTTTTTCTGTTAACCCTATTTCTCCTGCTGGAAAAAATCTTGCTGGGTGTGTGGTGGTTGGAGGGTAAATGGTAGATAGAGTGTGAAAACTTTTCTAGGAGTGTCCCTAGGTTGTCTGGCCAGAATAAGTACATAAAACAACATATAATTGCTCATCCAAGAATATCAGAACTGAAGCTTATTTTTCATTATTTATACTTTGGAAAACAGTCCTTTTGTGGGGCTAAGATCACAGAACTTTCTGGAACTAACGAATTAACTTTGTAAAAGTCTGATTCCAGTTATAATGTTAATAATTTATCCTTTATGGGTTGGTTTCCCTGTACACTGAATGAGGAAACCAGGATCTAAAGAACAGTTTTTATCCTCATTAACATTTACTAATGTTCCTTGAACTTGAAATAAGAAAGGTGTGCCCAGATCTGCACACCTAGATTAAAAACTATGTAGATTTTAGTGCCTGTTTATATCTCTTCTGCATTGTGCTAACAGGATAATCTATAAAGACCATATTGACAATTAGATCTCTTTGAAGATGACTGGTTTAAAGACTTTTAATAACCTGAAGGGACAGCTGTGATAACGTAAGAATATGAGATTAGTACACCATTGTATGCTCCTGTAACTTTATGCGCTTTCTTAAGATTCCAGTGCAATGGAGAGACTGAACGGTTATCACTATATGTGCCAGTTTACCAATTAAAATCAACTCATGGACATTCTCATGTTATATTGCCACCTTCTATCATCCCTTCTTTCAGTTCCAAACTGCATAGGTTATAGCTGCAATCAGAGAGGATCTCGTTTATAGCACTGTTTAACTGCCTCAGTAATTTTGTTTCATTTTGGATTTTTTAAATTAAATTTATTAGGATGACATTGATTAATGGGATCATATAGGTTTCAAGTGTATATTTCTATGATACCTGATCTGTATATTGCATTGTGTGCCCACCACCCACAGTCATATCATCTTCCATCACCATTGGATTTTTTGCCTTCATTTCTTTTTCTGTCTTTCAACTTGATTTTGTATTGGTTTCAGGTGTACAGCGTAGTGGTCAGACAATCACATACTTTGCATAGTGTGCCTCTCGGTATTTCCAGCACCTCAGCTGGCCCGTACACGATTATTACAATATTATTGACCATGTCCCCTAGGCTATACCTCACATTCCCATTCCTAGTTTGTAATGACCAGTTTGTACTTCTTAACCCCCTTTTCACCCAGTCCAACTTTTTTTGTTTTCTTCTTTTTTATTTTTATTCAACTTATTGGGGTGACATTGGTTAGTAAAATTAGATAGGTTTCAGGTGTACAGTTCTATAATACAGCATCTGTATATTGTGTGTTCACCACCCCAAGTGAAGTCTCCTTCCATCGCCCTTTATCCCCCCTTTGCCCTCTTCCATTTCCCCACCCCCTCCTTTCCCTCTGGTAATCACCACACTGTTGCCTGCATCTATGAGGGGTTTTGTTTTTCTTAATCCCTTCACCTATTTCACTCAGCTGCTTAACCCCCTTCCCTCTGACAGCTGTCAGCTGCATCTATGAGTCTGTTTCTATTTTGTTTGTTAGTTTATTTTGTTCATTAGATTCCACGACTGACTCAGTAATTAAATGCCAATA